TTTTTTTTTTGTGGGGAGGAAATACAGAGCACTGGTCTCCAATGAATCTTATGTAATTGCATCAGCTATGGTGTGTAAGCAATGAGAGAAAATATTTCAAAATATTTTGAGTTCTCTCCCAGTTACTCCCAGTAAATGCAATTTGTTCTGTGAACATAAACACCTAACATTTATAGTTCTATATAAGCAGGAATACTCAGAACAAGGCAAAATAGATGCAGTTTCCTTCTTTTTCTCTCTAATTCTGTCACAAACATGGTGAACAGTGGTAAGATGCAATTAGTGTCTGAATCGCGTCTCACAAAACAGGCTTGTAACCTTGGATTTAACAGAGAATCATAGACTCACAGAATAGTTTGGGTTGGAAGGGATATTTAAAATCATGTAGTTCCACCCCCCTGCTATAAGAAGGGACACCTCCCACAAGACCAGGTTGCTGACAGCCCCATCCAGCCTTGGATTGAACACCTCCAGGGAGGAAGCATCCACAGCCTCTCTGGGCAACCTGTTCCAGTGTCTCACCACTTTCACAGTAAAGAATTTCTTCCTAATATCTAGTCTTAGCATTGAATTTTTTGGGAATTTATTTAAAAATATGCATGGGCAGGGACATGGGCAGTGAAGTTAGGACATTCAAACAGGTGGGAGCAGCTGGCATCAATTGCTGAACATTCACAGAAAGGATGTTTCTGAACCAAAGCCCTGTGCTGATACCACCAAGCTTCTTCCTGGCAGTCACACAGCCTGGTTACAGGACAGTGGTCTAGGGAGCACCATCTGAGAACTGGATCTTCGGTGCTGCTCCTGCTCATACTCTAAAAGGCCTCTATGTGTGGGTTGTGACTTGAGACTGACTGCATGGTACACAGTCTGTGTGCTGGGAAAGCTCTGCTACAGCCAAGGCTCTTTGGTTTTTGTATTGACTTCTATATGCAGAACATCAACTGGATGAGACATCCAAGCAAGAATTGTCAATAACTTCCTAACCAATGCTAAGAAATACCCCTCAGAGTCTGTTTTCAGCATTGCCTTAAAATGCGAGAAGCCTCGTTAAGATGGATTTAATGACTGCGAATCTCAGGCTGACTCCTTCCTCCAGCAGCTGTGAGTAATAACACTCACACAGACAGGTTTTGCTGGCAGGGGGGTGACTGTCTCAGAGCAGAAAAATCATCTGCTCCAGAGCTCCGAGCATCTCCCTTTTAGCTCTGGAATACTTTTCAGTTGGAAGAACTGCTTGGAGTTCCCCGTGCGTTTGCTATTTCTCTTAATGGAGCTGGCTCATGTCCCATCTGAGCTACAAACACAAGCATTAGTCATGTTTGCTCAGACCTGGTCAGCAACAGGTTGGTTTGACAAGGTGAGAAAGTTTCCCCAGCGACCCCTTCCCAGTTCGTCTGTTTTTCTCCTGTCAGCAGAGAGCTGTGCTCCAAGCAACCCTTATCAGAGAATCACAATGATCATCCAGTTTCAACCCCCCTGCTATGTGCAGGGTCACCAGCCACCAGACCAGGCTGCCCAGAGCCACATCCAGCCTGGCCTTGAACCCTTGTAGCGTTCTCACTGAAAACTTACTTCGGAAAAAAAACCTTTTATCACAACACTTATCACCAAACGCAAAGGGCTTTGCACGGTTCTGAAGGTCGAGAGATGAACTTTTGGAACAGAGCGGAGACACCGAACCTTTCCCGGCGCTGAGGCCGGGCCCTCCCGCATTATAGCGCCCCCTGCCGGACGCACCGCGGCGCCGCGTTCCCGCCCTGCCGCTCGGCTCCGCGCCTCGGAGTGCAGCGGTCCGCACCGAGGGGGGACGGAAGGCAGCGCGGCTGCCGGGATGCTCTGTAAGAGCTCCTTAAAATCACCCGAGAAAAAGCTGGATTCGTAAAGTTCCCTTAGGAGAGCGGCCGTCACGTTTCTGAGCTGAAAAATAAAACAAACAAAACCCAGACACAACAGTGGGAATAGGGAGTTCCCTTCCGTACGGACTTTGGGATCACATGGGGAATGAGGTCCCTGCAGCCCGTTCGGGGTGGACGAAGCGGTCCGGCTTTGCAATTAAGAAAAAATAAAAGAAGGGTGATAGAATTGACACTATTTTCAAAATCATCAGCGGAGGCGCAATGGGAAGATCGTTTTATTTGCTCAAGGAGCGGGATATGAGAGAAAGAACCGATTTGTTCTATTTACATAAAATATCGGGCTCTCCGTCAGAGGACAGAGAGGAAAACAAAAAAAAAGGGGGGGGAGAGAAAGTGGCCCTAACATTGCAGAGCGGAGGTCGGCAGTTGGCGACGGACGGCCACGGGAAGACGGGAGGGCAACGGCCTCTGCATTAGAAGAAAAAACGAAGTTTGTGAATAGGAAACACGCGGCGCGGTTCCCAGCGTAAACGCAAAGAGAAACAAAACCCCCGAATCGTCCCTTTTGCCTTTTGTGGGCGTTTTCCTGCAGCCCCGCCCGGAAGCAGCAGCCGGCACCACGGGTTCCTTCACGTTTATTGATTGAGTTAAAGTGTTCAGCAAACAAAGTGCTCTCTGTATCATCTTCCCGCCGTCATTCCCATCCCTTATACATTAATTATAAAGTTAAAACTTTTTTTTTCTTTTTTTTTCTTTTTTTTTTTTTTTTCCGTAACGACCAGAAATATACAGAAATGCAGAACGTAAAAACGAAAGAAACCCAAAGCCCTACAGGCGAGGGGGCTTCGGTCGTCGCGCGCGGCGCTGCGCCGGTCCGGTCCGCAAAGCTCCGTGCGCTGAGGTAAGAGCCCAGCCCGCCGCCGCGCCCCTCCGCACGGGGTTCCGCACGGGGTTCCGCACGGGGTTCCGCACGGGGTCCGCCGGGCCGGGCCGGTCCCCTCAGCACCGAGGGCAGCGCGGGCTGAGGGCTGGGGGAAAGCGGCGGAGCGCGCTTATAGGTGGGGGGTGTAGAAAGCCGGAGCGCCGTAAGTCTGCGAGCCCAGCACGAAGGGCGAGAGGACGGCCGGGCTGGGCAGGAAGGGCAGCTGGGCGGCGCACACCAAACCCCCGGCCGGGTGACCCGCGTAGCTGCCGGGCCCGTGCATGGAGAGCGGGTTGCCCATGGGCGGCGAGTGGCTGAGCGGGCTGAGGCCGCCCGGCAGCGCCCCTCCGCCCAGCGCCCCGCCCGCCCCGCCGCCCGCCCCGCCGCCGCCGGTGGGCGCGCTGGTGTCGGCGCCCGGGTTCTGCTTCTTCCACTTGGTGCGGCGGTTCTGGAACCAGATCTTCACCTGCGTCTCGGTGAGGCTGAGCGAGAGCGCCAGGTTGAGGCGCTCGCACACCGACAGGTACCGCGTGGACTTGAACTTGTTCTCCAGCGCCACCAGCTGCTCGTACGTGAAAGCTGTCCGCGCCCGCCGGGGTTTGCCCGACTTGGAGTCCGAGCCCGTGCGCTTCCTCTTGGGCTTGGGCTGCTGCTGCCCTCCGCCGGGTTGCTGCGACGGCGGCGGTTGCTGGGGCGGCGGCGGCGGCGGCGGGGGGGGCGGAGGACCGACGGCCGCCTCGGGAGCGTCGGAGTGCTGCGGGCCCGCCTCGGCCTCGCCGGGAGCCGCCGAGCCGCTGCCCGTGCTGCCGCTGCTGCTGCTCTCCTCGCTGCACAGCTCCTCGTCGTCCTGCAGCTCGCTGTCGGGGCTGCGGCTCGGCCGGCTGCCGTAGTCCAGGTCGCACTCCTCGGCCTTGTAGAGCTCGCCGTCCTCTGCGCAAAACAGACAGCCGCCGTTAGACCTCAGCCAGCACCGTTAGACCTCAGCCAGCCCCGGCCCCGACCCCGCGCGGCCCCGACGCCCTTCGGCCTCCCCGCTGCTGCCGTTAGGACGGGGGAACGGGGGAACCCCGACGTGGGGATGCGGGTATCCCGTGCTCGTAGGGCGCAAGGCTCGGAGCTGCTCGGAAGCGGCGGGGATGGGTCTCGGAGCTGCCACTGATGGGCAGCGCCGGGGCTGCGCCCTGGGGCCGGCAAGGTGCCGTGCTGCCCGGGAACGCTTTTGGCAGGGCAGAATCCGGCACCGAGCGGCGGCCGCTTCCAGCCTCATCCTCAAAACACGGCCGGGAAGGCCCTTCGGGGTTGCAACGGCGTGGTGCTGCAGCCGCCGGGCCGGATCCCGCAGCACCGCTCCCCGTTCGGGCAGCGCGAGGGATGGGGCGGTGGGCTGGCGGCCTGGGCCGAGCGAGCAGCCCTGGGGAGGAGGGCAGAGAGGCTGTCAGCGCTTTTAGCAGTTTTAGTTAGGGAAATATCCGCACCGATGGGAGAGCTGCTGGCTTTTGCTCCGGCATTTTTAACCCTTTCTCTGCCTGGTTTGACCTCTTGTCAGTTCGTGAGATGGAAGTATTAAAGTGGAGTAAATACTTGTATTGATTAGCAGAGCAGATACAAACTTAATTAAACTCATTTTGTGTAATGTACAAACTAGTTAACGGTCATTTAATTTATTTGGGTTTATAGGACGCTCCAATTAACGGTCTTCATTGGAGAACAGGCGCAATTATCCGATATTTAAGGCTATCGGACTTCTGCTGATGGTTCCGTCATTGAGAAGCCTGGAAGGAAAGAGCGTTTTTGGGAGAGCCGCCACCTCCGCCCGTCGGGCTGCTCCGGCTACCGGCAGGAGAACGCTGCCCGCAATGTGCCGTGGGGCCACGGCGCTGTCGGAGACACCGGGGGCTCAGGGCCACAGCCGCGGCCCTTCATCCGCGGGTTTCAGGCACCCCACCGCTCGGACCTACAACGCGGCCGCAGATCCGGGAGATCCCGAGCCGAAGGCTCGTTGTACTCCAGGTGTGCAAGAGAAAGTGGATCGCTCATCTGTCACCCCGTGCGTGTTTTAGTCGGTTTTAATGCCCCCAAAACTGAACCCGTTAGTGCATGCCCTGCTCTGTCCATACCCTAACGCCGGATCCTTACCAACAGCCTAAGGGTGTTTTTAAAATGATGTCTGTTGAAGGAGCTGATTTTGGCTGACGTCGGCTCTGCTGGCTCGGGGAGAAAAAGGGGCAGAGAAGTTTGTGTAATCCTCTTTACCCGGAAAACATCCCTTAATAACGCGGGTTTATCCCGAGTCCTTTCCAGCTTTCTGATCAAACCAAAGAGTGAAGAGCGAACCCGCCCGACCGCCGCCGCACAGACGTGCGGATGGGATCGGTTTCCCCCATCCGACACCGTGCGTGAGGACGGCTGTCCCACGACCTGTACAACTTATTACACACCGTCGTATGCCATTTTGACAACAGCAATACACAAGCAGTGCGTGTATCTGTGTGCGTGGCGGTATCCACACCCGTTGAACTGCCCGGTCCGGGAGTTTATTTATTCCGGTAAATTAGGAAATCCCGTCCGCGGCTCTATTTAAGCTACTACAATTTCCATTAAGCAGCAAAAATGTAGAAAGAGTGCTTTTCGTGACGGAGACGGACGCCGCAGTTGTGGTTTTGTGCTCGAAAGATGCTGAATGTGAACTGACTGCGGAGTTTTTCCTCGGACCGCGCAGTTCCCTGAGCGCCCCGTGCCAGCCGCTCTTCTTTTGCCAGCAGCCCTCACCTTTCCGCTGTCGGCACTACGGCTGCTTTTCGGAACACCTCTCCTAAAATCCAAGCGGTGCCGGGGCTGCTAATTAATTACGGGAGGGAAGGGGGGAGGGAAGAGGGGAATTAAGTTTGGCGATTTGAAGCAGTCCCGGCTCTGTTTGTGACAACGTTAACGCGTGAGGGCCGCGGATCCCCACTCTGTTTGCTGTTAGAGGAGTGATGGCATTGCATTTCTCTCCTTGTCTGGAGATAAAAGTGCGAGATTAGCGATAGGCTCACCTCGTCCGTCTTTCGGATCGCGCAGATCTATTTGCTATGACAAAAGTCGGATGAGCTTAGACGAAGAATTACCTCGAGTACAGACTACTTCAAGAAAAAAATCTCTTTGGAATTCCATCAACGCTCCGCTCCCGCTTTTGCTTTCGGAATTAGAAACACTCCCGCTCTAAAAGACTGGGGCTGCAAGAGATTCCAGAGCGCTTTCTCTGCTTAATTTAACGGAAAGAGTCGCGCCGTGGTGGGATGGGAGAGCTCGGAGTCCCCTCTCCCGGCCCAGGCTCGGAAATCATTTTCCCCTTCCCAACAAGTTTCTCCCCAGCCCCGCTCCGCTCTCGGGACGCGAACCGCTCCCCGCGCCGCTCCCGGAGCTGCCACTGCACGGAGCGCTCCGCTGTCCCCGGAGCCGCGGGGTTTAGAGGTGACAAACTCGGGATATTTGGACCCAGAAAGAGAAAAAGCAATCTAAAGCTTGGGTCGAATGCAATTCCCGATCAATAGCGAGCCCTAATAAGTGTAATAGGTTTTAATCGAGTAATTATCCGAATTTTGACCCTATAATTTAGATGTTAGGAAAGAGTTTGCAAGGTGCTTGAAAGAGATATGCACAATTCGATAATAGGATATCGATCCAGGCAGTCCTACATGCCACTCTGGGGCGATTTCCCCCATTATCCAGCCTCTTTACGCTGCTAAGCACATTTTACCTTAAATGTAATCGAAGGAATTTAATTGTTTTTCCAGAGATAACCAGCATTTTGTCACAATTAGTCTGATTTGTCCTAAAAAAAGCCAAGGGGAGAGAGAAAATTGAATCTGTCGCCCAGAGCAACGCGAGGGGGGGAAGGGGAGAGCGGGTTCCAAGGCTGGGGAGAACATACATAAAAGTCAGAAATGCCTCGAGAGCCCCGGGCGGGTAGGAGGGAGCCGGGCTGCCACCGCAGGGCCCTCCGGCAGCTCCGACCCTTTGGGTCCTCCTCAGCAGCGGGAGCCGTTCAGGGTCGGCCCGGCCGGCGACGCGGCCTCTTCCCCGGTGCCGGCAGCGGCCCCGTGCAGCTCGCCCTGCCCCGCCGGGGTACCGCACCGCCGCTCCGGGTTAAGCGACCGAGTGCTGCCGTCGGGCTGCCCCGCACGGAGCTCATGGAGGGGGAACGCAGGCAGCGGGGCCGCGCACGAGAAGCTTTGCCCGTAGCGGAGCGCTGCGCCCGGCCCCCGCTTCGCCGTGCCCCGGCCTAAAACGCAGTTCCACCTCCCCGCAGGCAGCGTTCGCACAGCCTCGAGAACCGAGTGCCCCCAGCTCGCCGCTTCCCGACGGCGGTCTGTAAAAGCACGCGAGCCCCTTCCCGGGCGTCCGGGCACAGCCCCCGTCCCGGGGAGCCCCCACACCTACTTACTGATCAGCTCTGCGGACTTCTTGCACGTGTCGAAATCTTCGGCGAGAGCCTTTGGCTCGGCCAGCTCCGTCCCTGAGTCCTCGGGCTTATCCTCCGCCCCCAGCGTGAATTCGGTCCCCACCGATTTGTACAAGACCGCGCACTGCCTCCTTTTGCTGTTGAATTTGTTAGGGTCCAGGATGTCGAGCACGGAGAAGGAGGTGGTTCTGTGCACTATGGGCAGCGCGGCCACTGCCCCCTCTTGTCCGGGAGTGTTGTTCTGGCTGTCCCCTTGTCTGTCCCTATTCCCGGGGCAGGAATAGAGCGGCAGCTCTCCGCCGGCCGAGAGCCTCTGCTCCCCATGGCTGTCCATGCCTTCCCCGCGCACGCCGCACGACTCCCCGCCGATGCCCGCCGCGGTTGCGGGGGCTGTCACGGCCGCGGCTGCCGCTGCCGGGATGGAGATGTCACCGACCTTGTCTCTGCTCACATTCATGACTCTTCGCAGAGCCCCTCTCCGTTGCAACTTCTTCCCCCCCCCCCCCCCCCCCCCCCCCCCCCCCCCCCCCCCCCCCCCCCCTCCTCAGACGAAGTTGAGCTGCAAACTCCTCCCCGGCCCCCGCTCCGCGGGCTTTGCGCGCAGGGCAGCCGCTGCCTGCAGCTCCGGCACAGCGCTGGGGCCGGCCGGCAGCCTCCGGGGGAGACACGGAGTCACGGGGCGATGCTCGGCTCGGAGCCTCCGCTCTGCCGCTCCTTCTTCCTTCTCATCATCCTCACCGGGCTGCCTGTGCTCTCCCTCCTCCCCCCCCCCCCCCCACCCCTCTAAGCGCACATACACACAGAGGCAAGGCTGTATCTTATTTATGCATTCATATTTAGCACTGCATTGTAATTGGCTACAAATTAATCCCTTGCCCATAATAGTCTGTAATCTTCATCACTGGAGGAGAGACGCGGTGAAAGTGTGTGCCGGGGGGAGGGGGGCAGCGAGGGAGAGCGAATGAAGGATGGCGTTGGCTGTGATATACTTGGCTGTCAGCTCTGTTTCAGCACACCTCCACTCATCTGGAAAGCATCTAAATAGCCTTATTTGGAGAAGTGGGAGGAGATGACGCTTTCTTTTAAATAATTGCGGGATCAATATGAAGGAGATATTATACTCGCAAAATGAGAACTTAAGGTCTTCCATCCCTAATAGCGGAGTGAGATGATCAGAAGGGGATTATGTGCGTGTGGGGGCTCGGAGGTGGCAGCCCCGCACCTGTTTCCCTTCCTGCCGCTTTTATTAAATTACAGCAAAAAGAGAAAATGAGGGACGCGGGTTCAGTGGTTGGAGCGGGGTTCGTGGCCGCGGACACGCACACCCCCTCGCACACGCTTTTCTCTTTCCTTTAGATAATTAATTACAATTAAATATCAAGTGTAAGTGCCAGGAAACCTCTGGGAGAAAATTAATACGTTAACACGGCGCACGGCAAAACAGGGCGATCAATAAATTCGGAGTAACTGGGAGAAAAAGAGCGGTGCCTCCCGTGTGGTAACCGGAGCCAACTTCCACTTTT